TAATTCCTCGTAAGAAAAGGGGGCATCAAATTCATATAATAATGCCAGTCTGCCTTTGATAAATTATATTTTAACCTCGGATTGAATTCAGAATTTGCTCTTGTAGAGTCAGCAGATGTGATAAAAATTGGATAGTGATCACTAGCATGTGAATTTGGTAATGTTTTCCATGATAGAAGGGAAACTAAGCCAGGAGAACAAAGAGTCAAGTCCACTACACTTCTTACATTCTGAGAAGGTGAAACACGGCGGGTAGGAGAACCATCATTAAGGATGCAAAGATTTAAGTCATCTATCATATCTAGAAACGTAGATGATAGAGAATCGCAGTGATGTGAGGCCCATGAAGTATGGTGAATATTAAAATCACCCATGATAACAACAGGGGGAGTTAGACAAGAAATAAGATTAAAAAGTTCATTTAAGATGGTAACATTAGGATCAGGAATGTATACAGACAGAAAAGATATGTTGAGAGCCTTGACTGCAACAGCATTAATCGAGGAGCTGTGGGAAGGAAGAGGTATAGAAGAATATGTAATTTTTTTTGAGATCAGAATAGAGGAACCAGCATGTCCATCGCTCCTATCATCCCGAAGACATGAATAACCTGAGATCCTAAATTGGGAGTCAGGTCTAAGCCACATCTCCTGAATGGCAAGAACAGATGGTCTAAATTTGTTTATAAGAAAGATAAGTTCATTCTTTTTATGTTTAATGCTCCGACAATTCTATTTTAGAATTGTGAATGTTGCTAGTTATTGAAGTAAGCTGAGTAAGTTTATGACGTAAACTGAGGGGAAGTTCTGCGTCACTGAAACGGGAAATCATGTTAATTAACATTGATACCATAAGTTCGCAGAAGTTATCATTATTAGAGATGTTGTCATTCCCCAGTAAAGCACACCCATTTGGAAGGGAAAAAGGAGGATTCTCAACAATTGCCTGATGGGCTGACTTATCATATCCAGAATTTGATGATTGTCTGTAAGTACGTTGAGGAATAAAGATTGTTTTTTATATGATGTACATTGTGAAGGCTGAGCCGAAGGAGCTGAAATACTGTCATTTATGGGATAAGGGGTCTGATGAGAAGACTTACGAGGCGGACTTCTTGTTGCATCAGCAAAGGATGTTCGTACCAGAGGGAATCTAGTTGAAGCTTCTAAATATGATAAATTTTCTTGTGACATAACTAGTTTTATAGATTTTTGCCTTAGATGTTCAGGGCAGGTAGGGTCTTTTGCTGTGTGGGGTCCTGAGCAGAATAGACAAGTAGGAGTTTGCCTAGTACATGATAAACCTTCATGATTCTGTGCACATATAAAGCAGCGAGGGGATGATAGGCACTGAGAAGTAACATGAGCAAATCTGCAACATTTATGACACTGAATGAGTGGCAGAACATATTTTTCTACTGGCATAGAGGTGTAAAAACAGTAAATATGTGGTGGAAGTTTTTGTCCAGAAAAAGTTAGAACTACAGTTTGAGTTGGAATCCATGAAACGTTATTGCTGTCACTCACTGATCGACTATTGAGTCGGCGAGCTTTAATTATAGTACCATATCCAGAGGGAATTTCTATAGCTGCTATAAATTATTGTAATGTCCACTCTATAGGAACTTGTCTGACTACCCCCATACGAGTGATATTATATGAAGGGATACTTGTTTCATATTTAGAAGTCTGAAGAGCTGGGTGATCAATAAAAGTGTTTGCATCCGCTGCTGTTTTAAACTCAACTGATATCCTGTTTTGTCCAACTTTTTTGACGCCGTCACAAACTATATTTTTAATGTTATTATGATACAGAAAGTGACCAAATTTAATTGGTTTGAGAGTTACTCCGGACACTTGATCATTTTGACGTTTTACTTACGTGAACTAGAAAAGGCGCGGTATCATCTTGAGAGTACTTTACTTTCTTATTAATAAAATCAGGATGGATATATGAGGATTGTATTGAAGGAAACTGTTGGTTGGGATCAGTAATAACTATTTTTTGTGGATGGGCAGACTCATTGCTTATTTGGGCGCGTTTACGATTAATAGATTCTACATTATCAACGGGTAAAGTAAAGGAGTCATTGTGAACCTTTTCGGGATCGGGAGGTTCGTCCTCCATTATATTTCTATAACTAAAATTCACATAAAAACGGCACAATTAAAAACACTTACTAATCTACATATGTTAAAACCACCACCAAGACAAAAAAAATACTATAGTGACTCAACAGCACTTAATGTAATAATAAATTTAAGCGAAAAAAACTACGACACTTGTATCTCTCACTTAACCTCAAAGCAAAGTCCCCCGTCCCAAAGTCAGTTTAAAATTGTTAATTTTTGTTCCGTTTTATCCAGAATGAACTTACAGTATCTTAAAATATTGCAGTTGTAAGAATGGGTTTGGATTTATATTTATACATTATTATAGAACCCCAGCAAAAGGTAGCATCCAGCCATCTTCTCTATTGAAATTTGGATGTATTTTGATTTCAATAGCCTTGCGATCCTACTTGGAAGGAAAATATATCTATTAAATCTAATGCAGTGCTGGGGGAGATCCTGTATGTGTGCACAGACTGCAGACTCCTCGAAGCATTAATTCTTCACATCAGCTATGTGTTCTTTAACACGAGATTTCATTGGTATTTAGTTTGTCCCAACACAAACAAACAACTACAAGACTTCCAAGATACTATAACTTCATAATGTTTTTTTTTATAGGAAAGGGGCAAACGAGCATGCGGCTCACCCGATGGTAAGTGACTACCGCCGCCCATGAACAACTGCAACACCAGGGAGGGAATTGCAGATGCGTTGCCGGCCTTTTAAAAAGAAGTACGCTCTTTTCATGAAGGTCCCTAAGTCGTATCGGTCCGGAAAAATCGCTGATGGTAATCGATTCCACAAGGAAGTCGTGTGAGGAAGAAAACATATTCTAAATCGCACAGTGGTGGACCGCCAATCATCCAGATGGTGTGGATGGTATCGGGAGTTCTGCCGCGATGTGCGTTCGTGAAATTTGGCGGCTGGGATTAATCCGAACAATTCCTCAGAGCACTCCCCATGGTAGATGCGAAAGAAAATGCAAAGGGATGCAACATCTCTTCGCAGTGCCAATGAATCGAGCCGATCGGAAAGGGCTCGGTCGTCGACGATTCGAGACGCTCTGCGCTGGATGCGGTCAAGTGGAAGGGGCTGGCACTGAGGAGCCCCTTCCCAGAGATGGGAACAGTATTCCATGTGAGGCCGAACCTGCGCCTTGTAAAGTTGCAGGCGGTGTGCCGGCATGAAATGCTGTCCCGCTCTGCTGAGCACGGCAAGCTTTTTAGAGGCCAATTTGGCCTTATCTTCCAAGTGACCACGAAACTGCACGTCACTCGATATGTTCACTCCGAGGATACCGATACTGGCTGAGGCAAGAAGGGGAGTGCCTTGAGACTGAGGAGATACGACAAAGGGGTTCTTTTTAGCGGTAAACGCGCAAACTTGTGTCTTCTGAGGATTAAACTGGACTAGATTTAGTCGCCCCCAATCCGAGACTTTTTCCAGCAAAGACTCGACTTCAGACACAAGTTTGTTCCGGTACTCGGTGACGTTTTCCCGAGAAATATTTGCACGGCCGGTGTATAGAGCATCACCAGTGCTGTCATCCGCATAGCAATGAATGTTACCAGTTAGCAACATATCATTGATATGCAGAAGAAACAGCGTTGGTGATAGCACACAGGCTTGTGGAACACCAGCGTTAATAGGCTTGTAGTCAGAACAAGCACCGTCTACAACGACCTTGATGCTCCGATCTGCAAGGAAGCTGGTGATCCAATTGCACAATTTCTCGGGAAGCCCATAGGAAGGGAACTTCGAAAGAAGCGCTTTGTGCCAAACCCGATCGAAGGCCTTCGCAATGTCCAGACTAACGGCCAACGCCTCCCCCTTGGACTCTACTGCCTCTGCCCATCTATGGGTCAGGTAGACCAGAAGATCACCAGCTGATCGACCCCGACGAATACCGTATTGGCGGTCACTAATCAGCTGGTGATCCTCAAGGTACCGGATGAGCTGGCAGTTAATAATAGATTCCATTATTTTGGAGAACAAGGAGGTGATCGCGATAGGCCTATAGTTGGACGGGTCTGAGCGGTCGCCTTTTTTAGGGATCGGGTGGACAAAAGCTGTCTTCCATGAATTCGGGACTACGCCTTGGGAGTAGGAGTATCGGAAAAGACGCGCTAGGACCGGTGCCAACTCCGGAGCACTCGTCCTCAGCAAAATTGAGGGATACCGTCAGGCCCACTCGACTTCTGGATGTCCAGGGAGAGAAGTGCTTTGCGAACCGAGCGCTGTGAGAACAGCACATCCGGCATGGAGCACTCACACCGCGGGATGGTCGGCGGTGTTTTCCCCCCGTCATCAAGAGTCGAGTTGGACGCAAAAAGGGAGCCTAAAAGGTCAGCTTTGTCTTTTGCGTCTTGGGCCAATGAGTCGTCCTCCCTGTGCAGAGATGGTAGTGATGGCTTACAGAAATTCCCTTGGACAGCCTTGGCGAGAGGCCAGAATGCACGGGTTCCCGAAGGAAGGCGAACTAGTTTCTCGCCAATTCTGCCTATGTGCTCTGACTTTGCCTTGGCAATAACTCTATGTGTAGATGGGAACAAAAATTATTATCTTTAATCTGGAGGTAGCTGTGGTTAACATTGGGACGTCAAACACCTGTCACACCTGTGACCGTGGATGCTGTAAAGTGCTCAAAACATCAGGAATATAAAATGAATTAATATATGCGATAAAATCTGTAAAAACTAGTTTTATTTAAACATGTCAAAACCAAATCCCTCAGCTAGTGATAGACAGCAGCATTATCAATGTAGTAGGTGCATAGTTTGATTAGTTTATTTTTTCTTTAGATATAATTCATTCCCTTCAATTCACTAAGTACATGCTCAATTTAAAAATAACATTAGTGACCTTCAATAATGAAATTCATAATACCTCCATCTCATCGTCCGTAATCCCAACATCACAGTCTGAAGATTCCTCACTTCGACTATTATATGCCGCAGCGACAGACATTATCAACGTCCTTCGCGGTCTGAGAAATGCCTGCTTGAAGCATTGCAAAACTTCACGCACTGCGCGCTCCCGCCGGCAACGTCTCATCACTGAACTTAAGATGTAACCCCGCGTCCAAGCACTCCATAGTCTTTTAACACTAAAATCTCTGAACAAAACTGATCTGAATGAAGAAGACATTCCGATAAATGTCCTTCCAGCTATCTTTTGCTATATCTCATTAATGCGTTAAAGACCTAACAAATAATTTACTGGATATTGCATTATATATTTAGCTTTAAGTGCTAAACAAATATACGGCTAACATAATATGAATCTTTTACACTAATCCGAGACTATAACCTCTAAATTGATAATTTGATAAGATATACGACATAATTTGACAGTCTTTGAGTCTTTGACAGTTCCAAAGAGTAGGTACAATTCAATTCAAGGTTGCGCTGTTCGGTACAATCTAGCATTTCATTAGCTTATGGGTACAATCTAGTATATTGTTTCTTTAGTTATGTGGTATAATTAAATTTTGTCATGTCCAAATTATGTAATTTGCACTTTGCAACATAGACCACAAAAACAACTGAACTATTTCATACAACGGATTTCTTATGCAATTATATCTTTGATCTGTTTACAAAGGATCATATGCTAAAAAACCGGCCAAGTGCGAGTCGGACTCGCGCACCGAGGGTTCCAAACAAATCCGTAGGTATAAGTTTAAAATATAACTTTAAAATTATTAAAAATATTTTTATTATATGATTTAACTAAAAATTTTTGCTTTTCGCAATTTTTCCTTTATCTGTACTATAAAACGTTGCTTCGTACCAAATTTCAATATTCTGAGTTCACGGGAAGTACCCTGTAGGTTTTGATTCCCTTGCGAATGTCGAAAATTTGCGGCATAAACGGCTGTATTTTTTGATTGAGTTGGCTTAGAAGTTTGATTTTTTCACAGCTTCAAGGAACAGTAGACTTGAGTATTTGATATGAATTTCAGATTGATAACTCTACGCGTTCCTGAGAAAAAGTGTCTTGACAGACAGACAGTCAGACGGACAACAAAGTGATCCTATAAGGGTTCCGTTTTTTCTTTTTGAGGTACGGAATCCTAAAAATGATCCAATTTCAAAAAAAAAATATCTAACCTTTGATAATCTTTGTAGGTTCAGCTGTCTGGATATCGAATTATAAAATTATTTTAAATTTTAAAAGTCCAAATGCTCTTTCAATTTTCAATGGTGGAGCTGCTGCTACTTTGGGAGCAATTTTATTCATAAAATAATGTAATATGATTATCTGACTCATAAAGTTAGTAGTACCAAAGCATTAATTTTATTTAACACATTTCGAAAAAAAAATCGATTTACCTAGGCTGTATGGTACATTTGTCTTTTGTCCATCAAGGGCTAAAAAAATATAAAAGCACCTTTATACCTAATAGCAGTAAAACTTACATAGTATAAAAGTTGATAATCATTTTAATAACAAATTACGCTTACTAGTACTAGTTGATGTAATTCTGAAGCTAATAAAAATATCAATTAATTGGAGTTCAACCAGGCCTAAAGAAAGTATAGAAATCATTAGGGCTTAGGTCGGGGCTGTACGGCGGATGGTCTAATAATTCTATGTTTTCTTGCTCTAAAAACTCTTTTGTTCTGTGTGCGGTGTTAGAACTCGCATTGTCGTGATGGAGGATGAAGCGGCGGTTGCAGTTCTCTTTACGGAGTTCAGAAACGACCTGTGGCAAACAAATGCTAGCATACCATTCTGCATTAACCGTTCTTTGTCCCTCAAGAGGAATAGTCGTAATATGGCCGGTTTTGGATACAAACGTGGCCACCATTTTTTTTACAACACTCCGTGACCGAACAATTTTTGTTGGCTTTAACTCATTTTCGAACACCCAAACTCGTGACTGGATTTTTGTTTTGGGTTCGTACGCGTATATCCAGGATTTGTCACCTGATACGATGTTGTATACAGCATTTGAGGATCCTGCGTGGAATCTTTCGAGAGTTTTGACGCACCAAGTAACGCGAGCCGCTTTTTTCTCTTCACAGTGCGAATGCGGTATCCATCGGAAATACAACTTTTTTACACCTAATTGTTCATGCAAGATTATTTTTATTTGACTCATGCCAATGTCTAAAGTTGCCTGAATTTCGCGGTATGTCTCATGTCGATCTTTCTCAATCAGCTTACGCACAGCATCAACGTTTTCTTGGGTGACTGCAGTTTTTGGATGACCTTGACGGGGATCATCACTGAGCTTGACACGTCCACGTTAAAATTCAGTAAACCAGCGATAAATTGTGGTTTTGGATGGGGCTTCATCACCAAATGCAGAAATCATCCGGTCAACACACTGTTTTTGTGTTAAACCACTTCGAAAGTCATAATAAATCATCGCTCTTGAATTTTCTTGAGTCAATTCCATTTTCTCAACGACTAAACAAGTTTGACAAAACCTTGTGACAAGACCGAGAATCTTTTTTTAAATAAATAAATGGTATTCACACAACGTTTTTTAAAAAGAGAGGAAGAGAAACAACAAAAAAAATTATACCACCGACTTCAATACTAATATGCATTATTAAGGATAACTCCAAAACTACTGTCAGATCTTGATTTTTTTATATACTTGATTTTATTATATATTTATATGAGATGTATAAATTATAAGCACCAGCTTTCAAATAAAAATAGAATCATTAAAATAGTTTCGGAAAAGTTCTGAGGTAACACACATAAAAAACAGTTGAATTGAGTACCTCCACCTTTTTTGAAGTCGGTTAAAATGGTAACTAGGTAATAAATTATCTGAGTTTCAAAGACATTCACGTTGTTATAATCTTAATTTTCCTTGATGTTGCATATTAACCTTCCTCACATTAAACAATAAAGTTTTTATTATCAGCAAATTGATGATTCTGTGGTGCAGCAGCTTAGCAATGAGTTGCAATGCGGGGGCCGCGGGCTTGAATCCCGTACAGAACAAGTATTTGTATGGCCTACAAATAATTGTTGCGGTTCTAGATGTTTGTCCATGTGCAAATTATGTTTGTCAACTGCCTCCACGATACAGGAGAAAGTCCTAGTGTGGGGGTAATGTTTTTTTTTACAAATAAATAAATACATTATATAATACCTTGGTGTATTCTACAATATATATCAACTAATATTAAAGAATTTTTTTTTCTCATAACACCTAACCCTACAGTAGAAGCGGTCTTAACAAAGGCGCGTAACGAGCTAAGTGATACAGACACTCGCACGCGGACGTAAGGTGCATTTTGATTTAATACGTGCACCACAAACATATTTTTTTCGACGAAATAAACTGTAGGCTAATTTGACGAAGGTTACTTCCGAGGCGTGCAAAGTATTAGGAACATTAGCGACGTTGTAACTAAGTTTAAACTCTCAAGTTTGCTATCAGAGAGTGAGCCCTCTGTTCTTTTAACTATTATTTATTCTGTGGTTCAACCTAATCTGTGAACCAAAAATTAGAAAATGTCATGTCAAGGAATCCAGACGATAAATGTTTTGAGACTAAATAGTGAGAGACCGTCACGTGAAGAAGATATTGTTGTGCGCCACAATTAATGCATGGTACATGGCGACGATAGTTACCACTAGTGCCTTCTAGTAACGAGTAGCAGAACTAGGAGAGTCAAGATCCTTCTAGAAATTTCCATGGATAAACTTTCTAGAACTATCGACACATTTTTTACGTGGTAGAGCCATGCTGCAGCTATATTAATAGTATAGTTGTAGCACGAATGGGTCCGCTCGACCAGGGAAGGACCACGCCCTCACATAATACCAGCGTAAAATAACAGCTCAATGCTGCTGTGTTTCGTATGGTGAGTGTAGAGAACCGGAGACCCATTTTACTGGAAAAGAGGCATTCTATCTTAGTCCTGGCTGATGGCTGACAACAAATCTGCATTTTAATTCGCAAACGAAGATAGATGTAGATGTCTATGGGCCACATTAACCACTTACAATCAGGTGAACTGTGTGCTCGTTTGTCACCCTAATTCTATAAAAAAAAACTTAGTCAGTCGGGACCGGTATGTACTCGAACATTCTAGATGTTTCTACCGTAGAAGGTTCTGGAAATTAACTGAGGCCCTATATAAGGTCTATATGAGGTATAGACCGCGATCCAGTCAGCATTGAATTGGCTATACAAGACATGGTGAGAAATAATGTGATAAGAGAAAAGTGTGGTTTGCAAGAAGACGTTGTGACCAGGGTTAAGAAAGGATTGCTTCGGTGGTTTGATCATGTGGAAAGAATGAACGAGAAAAGAGTGACAAAGCAAATTTATGTTGCAGAAGTGAACGGCAGAGTCAAGAAGGGACGCCCTAGACGGAGGTTTATCGACCAAATTGGCGATATATTGAAAATGGGCCAGATTAGGAGTACCCTTAACCGACGAGCGTGTATGCGTAGATATATGGATGTAAAGGAGGCGAGAGAGGTGTGTCAGGATCGTGCCTAATGGAAGTCCGTACTCTCTGTCTACCCCTCTGGGTGACAGGCGTGAGTGTTTGTGTTGTTGTGTGTTTACTCGGCAGTTTTTAATTGTCTTGAACCCCAAGCTCATAACAATATCGATGACGACATTTTACCCTCTCCGAATCACTTTAGTGGACGTTGGGAGACTATATTCTCTGTACAAGTAAATTTTAAATATCAGGAAAAATAAGACAAAATATGAAATATGAAGATGATTATATAATAAAGATAAAAACAACACAATTATTCAAAAATATTCATTTACAAGTATTGAAAATCAACAACATCTGTTCATAGAAACAAAATCTAAAGTGGACTTGCGCCACAGTTAACTAAACTCTAGCTAAAATAGTTTTGTCAGTCATAATCCATTGAATTAGAATCAGACGTAATAACTGTATCACTTTCAGTATCCGTTTCTGGCCCAGTGGAGTCGCTATCGCTGCTTTGACCTAATTAATTATCTTTCGTAAATTTCTCCCAATCTATCTTGTTCCCAATACTTTTGATGCAAAGGGTTCCACGTGGTGTATTTCCTTTTTCCAATCACTTCGTGT